TCTTGCAAAATTCTGTCATTGGATCTTCAGCATCTTTTCTGTCACCAAGTCCATATTTTCCAACTATGAAAACAAAGAGGATACTTCAGTTTTAAATTTCACATTCCAATTACTAGTAATCAATGCATCTTGAATGCATGCTTGATCAATTTCAGAATTAAGACATTGGTAGAATTCAAGTTCATCATCAATGGCTTTAGTGCTTGGTGTGTAAATTTGAGTAATAATCGTATTAATGGGTCATCCTTATAGGTATATGGATACTATCCTATCACAGACAGCATTGTACAGCATCTTGAAATGTTCTTTTTGATGATGAATGTGACATCCACAATTCCTGACAGAGTAAACCATATGATTGTCTGATTCAAATGGCCAATACCAGTCCATTTCAGCTCACTAATGCCTAGAATATCGATCTTTATGTGTCCCATTTCATTTCTGATGACTTCCAATTTTTCTAGATTCATACTTTGTACATTCTAAGTTCTGATTATTAGTAAATATATGCAGCTATTTCTTCTCAATTTGAGTTGTGCCCCATCATCAAATGAAGGTCCTGAAAGCTTTACTCCATCCATGTCATTAAGGTCAGCTCTGCTTTGAGGAGACAGCTCTTCCCCAGTCATATTTAGAGAGTCTTCCAACATTAGGTGCTCATCTTCTGGCAGTATGTCAGACAACGTTCCGCTGCTATTCAAAAGTTCTCAGTGCCTAATCATTCAGAAGTAACCTGCTGCGTCTTCTTTCTAGTCTGTCTAATCTGGAAGCTCTGCTGAAACCTGTCCACTGTGGGTCACCCTGCTGGTATTTTAAATATCTGTGGCATAACTTCCAGCATCACAGCCACCATACCTAGCCACCACAGTAAATCAAACTGGCAGACAAATGATGAACTCCAATCTGACCTTATGTTAACTGATTACGTCTGCAAAAACCCTGTTTCCAAATAAGATCTCACTCACAGGTGTAGGGGTTAGGAATTTGTAGGGGACACAGTTCAGCCCATAACAGTCGATATGAGGGTGACATCAGGCTAACCAGCTTTCCCCCAGTCTGGTCCTCACCACTGTTCATGGACCACTGGAGCAGCCTCATCAGAGCGAAGCTGTTTCCACCACAGAATGGGTTGGGGGTATTTGTTCTGGTTTAAGGATGTCCCTCCTTGTCCCTTGCTTTGCCCAGGAATCTTGAGTTGAATGGATAAAGGTGATCACCCAGTTGTGCAAGCAGCCACAGGGTCCACAGGGATTTAACATTTATACCGTGACTGCCTGAGCTCCCTGGCCCGGATGGATGAGGCCACACAAGCCCGGGGCCCCTCCACATACGTGCTGTACATGTGAGGAACTTCCGTTCTGAGGTTTCCAGAGACATTCTTCAGCATAAAATCGCATTACAGGCAGATTTTCAGGCAAAGAAGAGACTATTATCTGGCGTTTCTTAGATTCTGTTCTGTGCATTGTGGGGATTAGTTTTGGGAATGAGGCTCTTCTGAGATGCAGCTGTTTATTTGCGTAGCCATCCCCCAGCCCTAGAGAGGGGACTCAGTGTCCAGCTGTTCCAAAATCTAGTTCTGATTCAAAACAGCCGGGTCTGTCTTTTGAACAGAATCGCACCCTGAGTTGGAGACAGGCCTCTAGGGTTGTTTCACCAGCATCTGCCCTCATGGATGCTGAGCTGAGCCATGCATGGGGGTGGGCAACGACCCCTGGTTACCCAACCCACAGAAGACAGATTACAGGAGGGTCCATGCAGAAGGAAGAACTGGTGTGCCCAGCATACAATGGGATCTAGTCAGAAATGTGGAAGTGAAAGCAGTGTGGGTGTGTGAGAGTATGAGTATGTGTACTAATGTGTGTATGTGATTGCATGTGTGTGCCGACATATATGTGAGTGTGCAGGTGAGAGTGCATGTACAGTGGGTGAATGTGCATGAGTGTGGGTCTGATTGGACATAAGTGAGCATATACAAACATACGTGTCATGTGTGAGTTCATATGTGTGGCATGTGTGTGTACATGTGCGTGTGCATGGACACGTGAGTGAACTATCTGGGTTCCTTTCTGGTTCGACCTCTGAGGAGCTCTATGACCTTGATCAGGGTCCTTATTGCCTGGACACAATGGGCCTAGGAGAGGCCCCAGCCTAGCCCCAGCCATGAAGTGGTGGTGGGGGTTCCCTGTGATGGGACAAACAGGCACTTTGGTTGGCTTGGAGTTGATGACAGAATGGTTAATAACAAGTGCTCCTGAGAGGCATCCCTCCTTTCTGTTAAGCATTGTTCCTTTGCACAAAGTCAATGTTGCTCCTTTGGTTTGTAGGGTATCACGCAAGTCTGGGAGGTTCTTAAAGCTGTGTGACTCTCTGTGAATCAGAATCACCCCTGGAAGACCCCAGGAGAAGGGGGAGGTTCTGTTCTGAGAATCCGAGAAGGCCAGGGAGTCCTCACTTTCTTCTAGAAGCAGGTCATTCTGTAGGTTATGCTCAAAGACATCTTTGGGCACTGATGTCTGGGGCAGCAGTGGACAAGGTGGCAGCTTAACCCAGGTAGCTTGGACCCAGATGGGAAGTTTGGATAGGATGGGATGGGACAATGTATCCCTCAGCTCTATTTCTGTGCAAAATTCTTTGCATTTCTGTACATTTTTGATCAGTGATACCAAACATGCCAGAAATGCAAAACCCATCCAGTCTAAGACTGGTTTTAGCTGGTCAAATTTATTATTTAACAGTCCACATGGAGCCACTGTGTTGTCTCTTTAGAAAGTAGCCCGAATGCTTGCGTAGTCCCTCTGCCAATGAGTGGCTGGTTATCAGGGTCTTTGATTGGCTGGAGTAGGTGTGTCTGGTGAGTCCTGCACACTTACAACCTCCAACCAGGCCTAGGGGAGGCCAGTGGTCAGGAAATTCCACCAGGGGACATGGGCATACCTGCTGGGTCCCCTCACTCACCACAGCAGGCACCCTCGGCCTGTCTGCCCCTGACTCAGTGCTGCAGAAAGGAACTTAATCCATGCACAGATTTCAGTGTGCAGCTTTTTATTCCCCAGTAGACTGAACTTCTTTATTTTCATTCCAACGGAACAGTTGCTTCCCAGAAGGATTTCTTTGTTTCCTGACTACCTGTGTGGCATCACTTAATTATTGATAATTCACTCAGAGGGAGAGGAAACTTCAGGGGGCGGGGGTGGGAGGGGCTCCTTTTTAGTTTTAGGAAAGCCCTCTGCTGCCCTGGTTGCCATAAGTTCCTGAGGCAGATGCTTTGCCTTGGTTTCCTGGACCTGCCTTCAACTGTGTTAGGTGAGCAAGGCTGTGGGCAGAACCAGGGCTCCTGGGAGGTGCTGGCTTCAGGTGAGCAGTACAGTGAGGATCTGATTTGGGTGTAGTGGGAGAGAATGGAGCCCAGACTCCCCCTCCACCTCCAGTTCACACTTTACTATGTAATAAAAAAGGAGTAAACTGTGGAGTTGTACGATAAGCACTGGACTGCTAACTAAAAGGTTGGCATTTCAAACCCACCAGCCACAGACTTGACAACAGCAGCAAAGGCCAGAAGAACTAGGTAGAGGGAAGCATAGGACTGCTGCTGGAGGATGAGGAGTATATTCCCAGCGTATCTAAGGGTCTTCCAGGCATGTTAGTGTCATAGGCTAGTGGGCACCCCGTCCTGTGGGTCAGAAGCCGGGGACTCTTCCCCAGGGAAAATATGACCTAAGCAAGCATGGAGGACTCTGTGAGACCACTCCCCAGAGCATGGTGAAGGTGATCACAGTGCTCTGTGTTAAACTGACCCACATAGCAAGTCCTAAGCATCAACTCTACTTAGCAGTGATGCACCCTCCCTAAACCAGGTGTCCATGGAGAGTACTGAGCTGCCCAAGGATTCATGAAGCCCTAACACAGCTGACCTTGGAGCTCACCTGGCCAGCAGCTGTAGTGTCCAGGATAGCTGCCCCTGAGTGGGTGTGAGGGATGACAGGGTCATAGTGGGTTGGGCTTTACCAGGGCCCCCTATGACTCTGAGATTCCACCTGCAGGGACCTGCTTTGTACACCAGTGAGGGTGAACGTAGGGTGGGTCCACCAATCCATCAATCCCATATTGCTCTTCCCCCCAGCGCTGTTAGCGTTACCAACTAGGTCCCTTCCCAAAGATTCTTAGAAGTATTGAGCCACCACCCCTACCCCCTGCCCCTGGTTCCCATCAGGGTGTTCGTGAGAACTCGGAATCACAGCAGTCTTTGCAGGGAGGTCATTTCTCATCAGTGAGAAGGCAGCCGAGGTGTTGTCTGCTAGAGTTAGGAATGAAAAGCCCACAGGTGAGGAGAGGTGTGGGGGAAAGAGGCAGAGCCCAGGGCTCAAGAGCTGGTGGAGACTGCTCACCCACTTTCTGTGGGTCATACTCCTGGGCAGGGCTCTTTACACCTCTCTGCAGAGTCAGCAGCTGGTCCCAACAGAGGACTTAGAATTTTAACAATTTGGGCATCTTTAAATCCCAGTTTTACCTCAGGACATGGGCCCCAAGCCAGGCCCTTCCTCCAACACCCACTTCTCAGTTAGAGCAGGAGGAAACCAGGCCAAGTAGGGGGCTGGGTGGACATCTGAGGGGCTGGTACCCAGAGGGCCTGGCCCAGAGTTCTGTCGAGTGGGTAAATGTGGTTGGCAATGGGCTGGATGCCCTTCAGAAAATATCTTTGTCCTAAGCCTGTCACACTTCATGGATGTATGGAAAGCAAAGAGTTAAAAGTCTTTTGAGGGCCAAGTCATGGGGGACATTCACAAGAACTGTGTCTGCCCCTCTGTGTGGGTAAAATGGCAGGCAGAGCATCTGCAGGAAGAGGGCGTGCTGGGAAGCTTGAATGGGGAGCTGGCAGCCTGCCAGGAGGGTGGGGTGAGGGGAGGGAGGGGAAAGCTGGGAGGGTGGGAAGCGTGGGGAGGGTGGGTCCAATCTGGAGGAGAAGCTTCTGCCTGCTGGCCTGCAGTGCACACACGGCTCTGATGGCTTCGGACCCCAGCCGTCACTGTAGCTTTCTGCTGCTCACCTGCTGCCTTGCTACCGCCCATGCCGAGCTACTGGGCCTGGAATGGCTGTGGGGCCCTAATATTGTGAACCCCTCTAAGGGGCTGGCCTCCCAGAGCCGAAACAACACACCAGTACAGTCTTTAGCAGACCCCACGACAAATGTGATGCTCCAGGATGCCCCTACGAAACAGACGACTACCCCTACTGCCCCTGAGCCACCCCTGGAGAGATTGGAGGCTGCCCAGGACGGGGCCACCACTGCCCCTGCTGCCCTTGGCTCCATCCCAGACAAGAGGGAGGAGAACATTGCTGGTGTGGGAGCCAAGATCCTGAACGTGGCGGAGGGCATCCGGAGCTTCGTCCAGCTGTGGGATGACACAACTTCTACCAAGAGTCCAACAGGGGCGAGTACTTTGGCTCCCGTGGCACCCACGGACCCCCTCACCCCTTCTGAGTCCTCAGACATCCCTGCAGGAAGTGGGACTGCACCCTGGGCAAGCAACACAGCCCCCAAATCACAGGACACCCTGAGGACCCATCCCAGCACCTTGCTGGCACCCACCCAGATGTTTCCCTCCCTGGGCAGGCCCCGGGCTCTGCTCAGGGAGCCCTTGATGCCTCCACCATCTCCAGGTAGAGCTTCTTCTCTCTCCTTCCTGGGGTGGCCCCAGAATCTGGATGGTCGAGAACTCCTGCCCGAGGCCACCCTGCCCAGCCAACAGCACCAGCAAATCAACGTCCCCCGCCGCAAGCCTCGTCTGCTTCCCCTGGTGATGGGCTCTGCTCACTCTGCCCTTTCCGCTGACCACTCTGGCCTGCGTGGTAGGAAGGCTCTGCTTGGCGACCCCAATAGTGGGGGCAATCATATGCAGGTGGGCCACCCAGCCGAGTGGTCTCCAGTTGCAGCTTTAATCCGGGACCGTGGTGATTGGGGTTCTCATGTGGTTAATTCTTCGGGTCTTGATTTTGCTAACACCTCCGAACCGCTTGCCCCTACTGGGCAGTCCCCTGGCCACTGCCGGCCTCTACCACCCTCGATGCTACTTTGTCAACAGCTGGGCATTGCCCATGCCTGGCTGCCCAACCACCTCAGCCACGAGAGTGAGGAGGAGGTGTGGGCAGCTGCACAGGACTGGGGGGACCTCCTCCAGTCAAGCTGCCACCGCTTCCTGGGGTGGTTCTTCTGCCTGCTGCTGGTCCCCCCTTGTGGTGCCACCCTGCCACCAGGCCCGCCGCCCTGCCGCCAGTTCTGTGAGGCTCTGGAAGACGCATGCTGGAACCACCTGAAGGGTGGCAGGCTGCCCGTGGCCTGTGCCTCTCTGCCCACCCAGGAGGACGGGTACTGTGTGTTCATTGGGGTGGCCGAAGGTAACGGCCCACTGACCACCCTCATTTTTTGGCTACTCTGGACTTAGCACAGAGACCCCCTTACTGCAGCCACATACAAACACCCAACACCTGTGTTGTGTGTTCAGGGCTCAGTGAACCCTCCTGGTGGTGGGCAGGTGGTGGGACCCCCTCCAAATAGGAAAGACACTCCAGGAACTGCCTAAATATCTTAACTCGTGTGTTCCTCACCACAGTCTGAGGTAGCCCTACATGTCCCTGGTCCCAGGTAGAAAATGAGGCATGGGTGATGGGTGGTTACACAACCCATGGAGAGGGGAGGGGGAAAAAAGGGAGGACAAGAACAGGGAATGAGGAGGGGAGGGCAGAGGCACAAAGCAAGAGGATAGGCCAGCAGGCCTGCAGGAGGAACTAGGAAGCCTAGAAAAGATTCCCCCACTGTGCCGCCCCCCCCCCCCCAGATGGCTTCTTGCCCCTCCGCAGTTGTTTGCACTTTGTAGCTTTGACCCTGGAGCCAACTTGCCCTCTTGTCTTTGATCCTCTCCCTATGGCATATGGATGGACAAATGGCCTTGATCCCCTGGTTAGCTCCATGGTCATTGGGCTTCAGGACTGGCAGCTCCACGACTGATTGGGGACTTCTGGGGGAGAAATGCATGCAGACCCTCCCATTGGGGGATTGAGAGATATGTGGGCATGGGACCATATTCCAGCGTAGCAGGCTGCTGGCCCAATTCCCAGGAACACTGTCCATTTGCTCAAGGCCTGTGCCAGTCGGGGGTGCAGTGTTGTTGTGGGGGAAGGACGTGTTCTGATGATTGGGTGGCTATGGGAGAGCTAGGTCATAGGTCCAGTCAGGCAGCAGCCAGTCCATGCAGAGTGGGGTGGGGGTCCTGGAGCTGGCTGAGGGCAGGAGCGGCCACACTGGGGCTCTTGACTGAGGGCTAGAGAGCCAAACAAAGAAAGAAATCATGTCTACTGTCCCTGACATTCCCTGTCCCCAGCCCTGGGTGGGTGGAGTCAGCAGGACCTACCCAGCAGCCTGGGCTGTTAGTCCACGCCCACCGTGCTGGCTCTGCAAGTGGGGCAGGGGGCAGCCTGCAGCAGGCACCCTGCCAGGGGAATTCGGTCAGCAGAGGCTTAGTGCCAGGCCCTAAGCCCGTCCGGCATCACCCTGCCCACCCCAGCCTGAGGCTCAGCGTGTGGCCCCAAAGAAAGGGACGTTAACACGCTCCCACACTCCTCAGGGGGCTGGCCCCTGGGAAAGGTCAGAAACCTGTCCCTGATTTCTGAGCCCCACTAACACACCTCGATGTCACAACAGGATGGGCCATGAGGCAGCAGCATCCCAACCTGCCTTGGGTGTTCCCAGGTCAGAGCCACTGTCCATTTATGGTGGAGCCAGAGGCCTCTGGTTGAGCCACCCTGTGGCTATGTATGCTTTAAGTGAGGTAAGGGGATTGAGCAGGATGGGGGACCAAGCTGTTTGAGGGGCTTAGAGGTACAGTTGGGAGCCAGTTCAGGCAGTTTTCCCCAGTGAGTCCCAGACAGGTCTGTGTAGGGGAGGGAAATCTCTAACCATAGCTAGTGTTGCTGTCCGGGCGGCCTGAAGGACTTCTGATAGACTATCTGGCCACACTGGCAGTGTCCGCTGCTGCAAGGAAGACTAGTCTTGAGCAGAGGCCTGGAGGACTCTTGTAGGCAACAGCCGTGTCCTTTCTGCCAGAGATGGCCTGAGGTTGCTCCCTCCTCTGGTGGTCCTTCCTGGAGGTGGTTCCATGGCCAGGGGCTGGAGCATCCTTCTCCTCCTCCACCTTTCCTGCTAGCTTCTCCTCCTGGGGTGCTCCACTTTCCCCTGAGGAATCATAAGTGGGAGCAGAGGGAGGAGGACTGCCCAGCCCCTTCCGTTTATTAGTGATAGATGTGAGTATTTGGGAGGGGTGCTGGGCTATATGCCTGCTCCCATGACAGCCCTGTGCTCTCCTGGATGCTGTCCTTTTGGCTGCCTGGATATCACCAAGGACCCAAGCCTGGAGACATGAGTCTTTTCAGGGAGGGGACACCAGGAACACATGCTTCCCAGTCACCAACCTCTCCCAACAGTGGGTCTTCCATTTCTCGCCCCTCCAACATTACTGTGACCTGAATGGTACCACCCTCACGTGTATGGATCCACAAGTACCAGCCCTCAGGGAAAAGCTCCCTCCATGTCCCCCCCAGGAAAGTGCTCAGGGGAGGAGCAAGGTTGCCCAGTAGGCTGTGGTCAGTTTGGTGAGTATCGGGCATGGGAGGTGTTCAGGAGAAGAGGTCACTTGTGGAAGTTGCAGTCAATGCGGGAGCCCAGCTGTCAGTCAGCACACAGGTCCAGAGTCCTGAGGAAGCAGGTGAGAACAACATACACAGGTGCAGGTGAGGGCTGTACCAGAGTGAAGTGGGTAGGCCAGGTGGCCTGGGCTACCCTTGCCCTCCGCTCCCCTCCCCTACTTCCTCCAGACACCTCCTGGGGCTGTCTTCATGGTGTTGGAGCAGCAAGGGAGCTGTGCCCAAAGGGTGAGACAGTCCAGTTGGGTCCGTTTTCTTGTGATGGTGTGTTGCTTCCTCTGTTCAACTCCCTAGCATGGAAGGCTTCCTAGAGAAAAGGGTCTGAGGTTTAAGCAGCTTTTCTCTGAAAACTCCTCATTCACTTGGTGCAGCCTGTGACCTCTGGCCTTCTGTCCACTGCTGCTTCCTGAGCAGCAGGTGTTGTTGCTGTTAAGTGTCGTCCAGTCAGTTCTGACCCATGGCGACCCTGTATAGGGTTTCCGAGGAGCAGCTGGTAAGCTTGACTCACCAACCTTGCAGTTCAAACGACAGTTCTGCGCATAACTCACAGCGCCACACCAGGACTCCTGAATGAAGGCGGAGTCTCATAAATGCCAAGGGAACAAAAGGAGGAATCTGTCCTCAACAGGTAGCCCCTAGGGAAGAGGCTCTGGTCCTCAGGCCTGTTCTCTAAGTCACCATTGTCTTGCCAAGGCCCTGGTCAGATCTGCTCAGGGCACATGTCTACTTCTTTTCAGAATAAGGTCTTCAGAATGCTTTTCTGTGAACAAAGCACCCACCCTGGATTTGGAACTAGAGGGAAGTGACCTTGGTTGCCTAGCTGGGCCCTTGGCCATGTGGTTCTGCTTAGATGAGGTATAGGACTAATACCAAGACAGCTGGTCCCTTCACTCTGAGCAGGGTAGGAGTTGGGGGTCTGAGTGGTGACGTACAAGGCATCAGGTCTCAATCCCTGAAACTTGTGACTGTGCCGTATATGACAGCCTTTGCAGATGTGATGCAGTGAAGGGTCTTGAGGTGGGAGATTGTCTTGTATCACTTGGATGGGTCTTAAATGCTACCGTAAGTTTCCTTATAAGAGGAGCCAAAGAAAACCCACTGCCACTGAGTCAATTCCAACTCAATGTTGAAGAGAATTGGGGAAATTTCACCCAGAGAGGGGGAAAAGACAGAGATTGGCATTTTTCAGCTACAAACTCCTTCTTACAAGAACAAAAAAAGGCCCAAGCTTAGAGCCTAGAGCCTCAGAGATAGCATATCTCTGTCCACATCTTGATTTCACCAGTGTTACTGACCCCAGGCTCCTGGCTTCCAGATCTGTGAGAGAATATGGTTCTGTTGTTCTCGATCCCTCCCCTGGTTGGTTGGTGGGAATTTGCCTTAGCAGCCCAGAACACTCACATGGTGTTAGACCTTCTGCAGCAGCCTCAGCGGATGTGTGACCTTGTGTGCATCTGACCAGTCTTGGCTGACTGAAGGGACCACCACTTTGAGGAGGCCACATTCCTTAGGTGTCCTTCAGGGAACCCCACCTGGTGTGGGCTCCGTGGACAGTGCAGGGAGCTCGAGTCAGCTTTGCACTCTACACCTTTCCACCACCCTGGGAACTCTAAACCCTTCCCAAGCCCTGGGAGCAACAGTGAAAGGAGCTGACATTCATGGAGGATGTGGGGAGCAGGAAACAGATCCAAGGGCAACAAAGGGGCATGCAAAACCATGGCTGGTGTGGGAGTGAAAGGTGGGCTCGGGCAGCCTAGCTGCTCTATCCTCTACCAACTACTAGGTAGACTGAGCCCCTAGACTCCAGGTGACACCACCCTGTTAAAGCAGCCGAGAATGCAGGGCCTCACAGGCGGGGACCTGCCACCTTCTCCTGAATTCTTGTTACTCCAGAGCTTTACCAAGACATCTTGATCTTCCTGGCTTCAGACCCAGGGTGTGTTTGTGTCCTCCCATTTGTGGTT